CTAATCACAAAGTGACATGTGACGGTTTGAATGTGCATATAATAAAAATGAAGTACGGACCGCAGGATGAAATGCAATTATTCTCGTTGCCCTGTTCATCGTTAGTTATTTTTGCATATTGTCAACATAATTAAATAGGCTTTTGACTTTCTGTGGTTACACGGCCACTCAAACACCGACATGAGTGCGGTACAGCCTACTACTCGTATGAATATGTACAAGGACTCGCTCGTTTATTCAGAAAACATTCAGTGAAGTGCCCTTGACTGACGAACACTGAAACACTGAAACACTGAACATGGACTGGGAATTTCCACAGTATCGTCGTAGTATTTGTGGGGGAAATGCAAAATTGTTTTTAGCAAAGTGCACAATGCACTTGACGACTGTCAAAACGGACATGGGACATGGGTTGGGGTCTGTTGTCTTTATGTCCTGTTGTCCTGTCCTGAGCTGAGCTGGTGCTGTTCTTGTTATTTATGTAAAATGTTGCACAACAATAAAATCGTTGTTAACTGAAAGAAAATGAGGACAATTGCAGCAACTTTTCCGGCAATTTTATATATATATATATATTGTATGTCTATATATATGAATTGAAACAATGCCATGCCGTTGTCCTTGCCGCTTGCTGCTTGGGCCAGCAATAAAAATTTGTCCTGCGGTAAATGAAATGGATAGCAATTGCGATTGCGATAACTGGCTGCTGGTCAACTCATTCCTCCCCTCCTTCGAAAATATACAAAAAACCCACACAATGTCCCGATAAAAAACAAAAACAAAAAAAATACTGGAGAATCGGCCAAAACAATGGGCCGCCAAACACAAGTTATAGCCGGGTCGAGGTCACTCTGGACGGATGTCCTCTTTCCCGCACTTCCCATATCTACCCTGTAATCGTTGTCCTTAGGGTCATCGTTGGCAGTGGCACATCATCATTTATAGATGGCATAATTCCCAGAAATCCCATTATAGTTCTTTATGTATGGAGTAATTTCACAACGATTATTTAATTGTCCTTTTTCGAACACGGAACACGGAGGACACTTCTGCTCGAAGGTTTCTTGACAATAATTTTAATATTATTTATAGTTTTACTTTTGTATAAATAATGAAATAAACTGATTATAAAATATATTATATTATATTTCTATATAAATAATGAAATAAACTGATCATAAAATATCTGTTTATATCTGTACAAAATAAGATAACAGAGTGCTGTTAATCACACAATTGTGCTGTAAAGAGCAAGTCTTTAAAAACAATTATAATTCATTAATCTTTCTTGCATATAAACTTAAAACTACCAAACAGAAAGACAAAAAATTCCCTTAACAGAAACTTTAACAGTTTGCCTAATTTTAATTAATTAATTTTTGAATCACTGTAGAATGTATACTCCTCGACAGAGCCATTCACAGGGTATAAAAAAGTTAGCTTCCTTTCTAGTTTTTCTGTCGTAACCTCCTCGGTCATTTCAGTTTCAGTTTCCAGCTTGTTGGCATTGCAATTCGATTTTTGCACTTGTGTTTTTTAATATTGCACTTTTGTTATTTCGTTGTTTTCAATGCTTTTTTATCCTTATTTTGTTAAAGTTTATCTGGCTTGGATTACTGGGTCAATTGGTTGGGCGGTCGCTCTCTCTGGGGGCCCTGCTGTGTGGCGAATCAGATTTTGTGGAATCTGGGACAGGGGTTTGCCTAATTAACAAAGTCCTGAAAAGGAAAGTTCCGCACACCCACACACACTCGCTCTATCTCTTTCACTAGCTATCCATATGGCTGTCTCTTTTGGGCTTCTCCCTTTTTGTAGGCTGAACTTTGACCCGTGCATTGACATCGTTTTTGCGTAAACTGAACAGAACTGTGTCAGGTAATTGCGTTCAATAAGCAGGTCGAAATGGGAACTGCAACTCGAACTGAGAGAGAGAGAGAGAGAACGAAGGATACTAGATGAAAGAGAGGGAGCTATCGATAGAGTGAGAGAGAGAAGGACTCTCACACACATATATGACCTGAATGCCATCCAGTCTCACTTGCATCCTGCATAATTGCTTTATCAATTGCCGCTGCTAGCCCATTCAAATAACCGACTTGCATTTGTGCGTTTAACTCGAAGGATGTCAGGCTGAAGTCCTTCGTCCTCCCCCCCATTGGCAGTCCAATATATTCATTTACAAAACGAGCTCATTTTATGATTGGAAAATCCATATGTACACATTCAACTAACATATATTTTGAGACCAGGATATGCACAAACCAAAAATTCTTCTAAGAGATTTGCTTGGAAAATAGCATAAAATGCAGCAAATAATTGGTCGTATCTGGTTTAAAATTCTTAAATCAATATTACTAAACAATTTGTAATTTAAATTACAGGCAAGTTATTGGTAAAAGTGTTCTTAAAATTCCCAAGCCTGAATTTCGTAATGTTTAAATTCTGATTGGTATAGAAGTTTGCTGGTGAAACAGACTGTACCAAAAATCTGCTTTCGTAAACAAAAAAATTGTTTAATATAATATAAATCCCAAAATATACATCCCAACTCTTCAGAAATCCTTTAAATATCCTTCTCATTTTTAAATCAATATTACAAAATAATTTGTAATTAGAATTACAAGAAAGTTATTGGTAAAAGTATCCTTAAAATTCCCAAGTCTGAATTCCGTAATGGTTAAAGTCTGATTGGTAAAAGAAGTTTGCTGGTGAAATTGAAACAGACTGTACCAAAAATCTGCTTTCGTAAACAAAAAAATTGTTTAATATAATATAAATCCTAAAATATATATCCCAACTCTTCAGTAATCCTTTTAATATCCTTCCTACCATGGCCAATTTGGGCTCACTTCGCTGGACAATAAAAAGAGAGAATCTATTCAGCATTCCAATTGGCATCTTCGATGCTCTGCTTGCTTCTTGCATGCAATCAAGGATTCTTTTTTCTTTTTTTTTTGTTATTCTAAAGGGTCCTTTCGAAGGCGGACACTGTTGCCCGGCGTCCTGCTGCTGATTTAAAAGCCCGGGGCATAAATATTAGCAAAGGCGTTGCCGCTGACGTGGCTGCAGCAGTCATTTAACTGTTGTCCGCCATGGCTGCTGCAGCGCCACCTCCTTGGTCCTGCTTAACTTTCCTGGGGGTTCCCCTCTATGTCTTGTTTCCCCCCTTCAGCCCCCGCTGATTATGCCAGTCAACGAAGTTTTGAGTACACGGAGAGGAAATAGAAAGGAGCTTGCAGGGAAAATGTTAAGCAATAGCTTGGAATTTAAATGAACCAAGGTTATTTGACATTGATATAAAATTCAATATCTTAAATATTGGTAATGGTTTGTTAATAATTTTCCCTGTTATCCTTTCCCTAATTTTGATTGTTAAAATATAAAAAATAAAGCTCTCAAATTGAAACCATACATAAATAATAATAAATATTACAACAAGAAGTAGTCCTTTAAATAATTTGAATATCATAGCTAATAATTTAAAAACTCAAGTCAAAAAATATTCAATAATTCAACTTCCATTCAATGGTTTCATTTTAATTAAAAGAAAAAAATAGATAAATTATTTTAACAAAATTAGGTAAACTAAACACTTTCATAAATGTTTAAAACCTTTTAAATATTGTGTATTTTAATATTATTATGTATATCTGCAAGCTTTATAAAAACTTATAACATTAAATATTAATTGTTCAATAATATATATTTAGCTGATTAATTACAAATAATAATAAATTTTCCTATAAAACCCAACCAATTTTCCTTAAATTTCTCTCTGTGTAATACACTTCTTAACCCTTTTCTTGCCCTGCATACCCACTTGTTATCCCAAAAATTCAGCCCGGCGCACAATGAATTAAATGAATCTCAATTTCCGTTCGGTTTGCGGTTAAAAGCCGCAATCGTCGTCTTCTTGCCCTTCTGGCTAAAATGCAAATTCTCCGGCACCGAAAATGAAAACAAGCCGGAAAACTCGGTGCTGCAACAACAACAAAAATGGTGGCAAGAATTTTCCTTTCCCAATCCCAAACTCAATGGCGCAACCTTTTTCACCCTTCACCCGTTCTTCAGGAGGTGGTGCATCAATTGCCTGGTTTCCATCTTCCATTCGTTTCTCAAGTTCCCCAAGACCCGTAAATTGCTGCAAGATGCCCCCGAAAGCTGAAAGAAAGCCGGAGAGCATGGAGCTGGGATTTCTGAAGTCGAAGAAGGCGACTCCTTCCAAAAAAAACTTTTGTACCGGCAAAACTTTTACAACTGTACTAGGACCAGGAGCAGGACCAGGACCAGGACCAGGACCAGGACCCAGACCCAGACCAGGATGATGATGAGATTCGGGAGAAGAAGGCAGAAGGCAAAGTCGCTGGGTCGCCGTCTGCAAAAGTTTTGCGATTTGTTTGCGCGAAATAAACGCGACGCAGATAATTTGCGCAAAAGTTCGCTTACTGGCGCAGTCGACCTCGCTGCCCCCAATCGTAGCAGGACGAGGAAAACCCCTTTTTGCACCCTCCTCATCCTAATTCCAAACCAGAAACCCATTCCCATTGCCATTCCCATTCCATCTTGTCCAACAATTTCATTTGGGAATATGTATTCCTGGTATGTCCAAATAAACCAAGCAAAATGAAAATGTTTTGCGATCGCTTGAAAGTTGTGCAAATAAGTTGTTTGCTCTTGAGATCCTGCACACACACACACTCGTTGATTGCTAAATTCATTACCCGTAGCAGCATTCGTTGATAGTCATTCGTTTCTCGTTAAAACTTCATTTTACTCGTTGCGGTTGCATAAGGACTCGTCGTTGTTCCATGGCTCATGGCGTTTTGCTTCACTCGTTACTTGTAAGTTTTTTATGTACTTGTACAGTCTACAGTCTTTTATAGTTTATCAGAAGTTGTTCATAAATCGTTATGGTTTACTGCTTGCGTTACTAATAATTTACTTTAGTCACTTTTTGTACTGTATTTTACTCGTCACTCTTAAGTATTATTAAAATTCAATATATTATAAATATTCCTTTATTTCTGGAATCGAATTAGAGAAGGTGGAGGGTTTCATTATGGCACCTGACTAACGAAAAGTATTTGATAATTTATACAACAAATTTGTAAACAGTTGAATAGTTCTGTACATTTCGTCACTCGTTTTGTGCCACCCAAAATCAACGATTACGCCGTCGTGGGCTCTTTTGGGTCTTGGTCATCTTGTTGAATTCGTTGGTGGAGATGAAATCAATGATGGGCAGTCGATTGGTTAGTGGCACCACCACATCCTTGGCGGCCATACTGGCACTACTGTTGAGTACAGGACCCGGACACAGGCTCCCAATACCCACGGCTCGTGTCAGTTCAGTTCCGCGGGGAATTTCAGCCAAGTCAATGCCCCTCTTAATGCCCACTTTCGGTCCACCGGCCAATAGTCCATTTACTTTTGCCACAGCCGCACCCAAACCGCCTGCCTTCAATCTGCCAGCTTCCAATCTGACGGCTTCCAATCTGCCTGCCATCGGTCTACATCCGACGATTCTTTTGGTAACGCCTTGCTCACCATCTCGTAGCCTCTTTTGCTTCACAACCGGCTTCGATTGGTGGACCCTCTGGCCAAGATTGCAAAAGAAGTCAACACCCTCGCGAGCCCTCGAGCCCTGGTTCATAAGTCTGGATGTTAGGCGACTTATTTTCATGGTGGAAAATACTGGTGGTTTTGCCATTCTTATATCGCTCTTCCTCGCCGAGTCCTTGGCGAAGAAAACCACATTAGTCCCGATGGGTTTCTTTCCCTTTTCCCCGGGACTGGCATCAATTAGATTGATCTTGGGAGTGTTACCCTTGGGTTTCTTGTACTTGATCGATTTCTTCTTCTGTGACATTCTCTTGACAGCGGTGGGCACCTGAGCTCGCATCGGTGAGCGTCTCATACGTCCTTTGACACCCGAACGCATCGAAGGTCTTGCGTTACGCCTCGAACTGGTCGCCTTGAAGCTTAGCTTTTTGACCTTACTTTTGCGTAAAGACTTGCGAGTCTTCACGGTTTTCAACGATCGCATCTTGGACTGTGTCATCATTTCGAGTGACTTCGATTTGAAATTGATTGCAGCCTTTTTGTGCCGCGCTGCCTAGCCTTTCAGTTCTAACTGAAAATTTTGGGGGGTGTGTTTTGGTTTATAAAAAAGTTTCTTCCGTGAGGTTTCCACAAAATGATTCAACTGGAATGTGTAGGCTTGACAGGCCGACTAGGACTGTGCCAACCGATATTCCACTGTCACATAAAGTGGAGTCGGGGCCTACTTGTCTGCTATATACATATATATATATTATACATATGTATATCTTACTCTATATATATGTAAATATGCATATGAATGTCCCGAACTTGAGCACGTTCTGCATCCTCTGTTTCCTGTTTCCTGTCACCTTTTGTCTTGGACCTTTGCTTGTTTGTTTGTCTTAGCCCCTTGCCGCCATCGACTTTTATTTGTTTTTTTCCTCGGCACTTTTCCTCCGCATACCCTATAGTTAAAGGGTATTTTGGTTACGAGCCGTACTAAGGTCCTTGCTGATATAAGGGTATCTTAGAGTCCGTTTCTTGTTTTCCCCTTCATTGGCTTTTCCTCTCTAGGGGCTAACAACTTAGAATCAACTTCCGTTGTGTTGCCATTTGCATCTCCCCATATTTTTTTGAGAAAACCCTTTTTGCGTATTTCATTTTGCAAAATATTCCCTCGGTATATTGATTTTTTCTTGTACATACATATGCTTGCATCTTCAACAACTCATTAAGAAACTAAGACGGAAAAGGCGTAATTTTCCTGAACTTACAACCCCCTTCCTTCTTTTCCTTTTCCCATTTATATATATATATATATTTTCCCTGTTTTTCCCGCCACACGGCTTTAGCTTTTCTTCTTTCGCACATTTTGGTGTCAAGTGATGCGTATCATTTAATGTGACACACTTACTTGGGAATTAAGGGGAGTGGCTGAAGGACTGCCAGGCTGACAGCCGAACACATGTTGGCTGCATGCTAATTTGCTGTGCTCAGCAAAATGTCAAAAAAAAAAACAGGAGTAGGGGATAGTGCAGCCAGGGAAAGTAAGTAGGAAAGCTGCCTATTTAAGAAAATAAAATAATTATATAACTTAAAGCTCTACATGATCTTATAAACCTTAAAATGTTAATGTATTATGTTCTATGTTACAATAAATTATTCTCTTAGTTCTTCCTGACACTCTATAATATTTAGATCTGGTCACATTACTCAGCACTCAGGAAGAGGAACCCATATACAAGCCAAACATGAACACACATGCACATGAAGCAGCTGGCAAGACCGGAAATCAACAGGACTTCAGCCACACACATCTCTAGTAAGGGGAATTCCCTTCTCTGCCCCTCCAACTTTGATATATGATCAGAAATCAAGTTCTACTATCCCAAACACATAACTATATATCGCTGGACGAGTATGTACATATGTATACATTTAGCCAACAGAAGCAATCAGCTTATGTCTTGTCTTGGCTTTTTTTTTGGTTTTTTTTGCCTTCTTGATTATCACGTTTTCCTTTGTGGGCTTCAGGCTCAACAACATCAATATCAAGTATCCGCAATATCAAGTATACGCCGCATTGGTACAGGCATAAATCCAACCCGAAGGCGCCAACACACTGACCATTCAAGTAGTCCTGGCATCTCATTTGTACCGTTTCCTTTTGTTATCCTCTTGTGTCTCTCATGCCATTGTTTTGCTTTCCAATATTGGAATTGTGTTTAGCTTAACACCTCAATAAGTCGCAGGATGTCAGTGGTGCACAGCAACAGCAACAGCAAACATGCAACATGCAATCTGCAACCTGCAATACCAGCAGCAAAATGATGTTTTCCGCTTAAGCACATCGCATTCGTGTTCCCCAACGGGGCTAAAGGCAAAAAAAAAAAAAAAAACAAATGCAAAAAAACATAAAGGATACAAAAAAAAAAAGAAAGCCGGAAAAATCGGAAGAAAAGCCCGGCGTGTTCCAAACCAATCCCAGAAGTGCGTCTCTTCCAACACTTTGGTTTATTTTATTTTGCCGCACAATTTTCCCCCCTCTTTGTTTTTTTTTTTTAGTTTTCCTACTCTTTCTCCTTATCCTTCTCCTCTCTGATTTTCTTTTTCCCTCACTTCTTCCTTTCCTTCTCCCAGTTGCTCCTTAAACTAACGCAAAAACCTCAGTCGAGGCTTTACTGTGGCAGGATAGCCAAGCCGTAGAGAGGAGAAAGTTGGGGAAGCTCAACTAATTGATGACCTGTACAGGGTATTTTTTCGAACTTTGCTGATATTGGGTTTAATTTTGCTTTAAATATCAATAATATATATTTTTTTTTAGTTAAGTAATTAACTCTTAAATAGACCCTTAGATATAAAATCAGCTTTCTATTCAAATGCCTTTCAGAATTTTACTTTTTACTCTTACTTAAAAGTATTTTATGAAGTGTTTTTTTTTAATATATTGTTTACCTTTTGTTTGAACCCTTTTACCTCTTATTTATTTTAATTGTATGCAAACAAAAAAAAATTAAGAAATTCTTATTTATTTATAAAAAAAGAACTTAGTAAAGAAGCTTTGCATTTCCCAGATCGAATTTTCCGCTGACTGAGCACATTGCTCGTCTGCATACCCAAGATACCCTTTCTTTTGTTGTTCCTACTCTGAACAAAAACAAATAAACACACAAAAATGAGCAGAGAAACAACGGCGGCAGCAACAAAAAGGAAGAAACAACAACAACAATAAAAAAGAAAACAAGAAACAAAAAAGAAAGAAAAAAATACAAATGTGAACGTGAACGTGCTTCGTTGTCTGGAGTGCGCTATTTTGCACCTACGGGATTTTGTGACTCCAACACACTACCCAACAATCAGGTGCACTGAGAAAAATAAGGGAGTCTCAAGGAGGTAAATTTATAAAATATATATCTATATATATGATTTATTTTAAATTAAAATTTATATTGAATTAGAAAACTCTTTCTGTTATTTATGAGAAATATAATTTTGAAATATCAGAAGCTCAAGGTAAATCAATAAACAAATTTAGCATGGAATACTATTTTTTAAATAAATATAATTTAAGGTATTGAATCAAATTATTTAATATTGAAACAAGTCTTAAAAAATTAAAATTAAAAAATTATTCATTATAATATTAAATGAAATTATTAAACATTGAAACAAATCTTAAAATAATTTGACATTGAAAACTATTTTTAAATAATTATTCATTATAATATAAAATAAAATTATTAAGCATTGAAACATGACTTTAAATAATTCAGAATTGAAAACTATATTTAAATAATGAGTCATTATAATATTTAATGAAATTATTAAGAATTGAAACATTTCTTCAAATAAAATATTTAATATCAAGTTTGGTGTTATTAGAAATTTTATCAAACTAAAAAATTTATTTCTGTACTAAGATTAATCTTTTTACTAACGTTGCTGGAGATTTTAAGATTTTTTTTTATTTATGAAAAATAAAAAACTGTCATTTTTTATGTGCTTTATTAAAGCATTGCAGGGTATTATAATTTCAGTCAGAAGCTTGAAACGAAGTGAAGAAATCTTTTCCGACCCTATAAATCATATATATTTTTGATCAGCATCAACAGGCGAATCTTTCTGGCAAATCTCCTAAAGAAAAAGCAGATTTTCAAAAATTTTTAATTTTTTTGTAAAAAAGGAAAGGGGTTACATCATTAAAATTTTTAAAAATTTAAAAATTTTAACTAAGTGTGCAGATTTATTAACCTAACAAAAACTAGCATAGCAATGTGTTCCAAATGGAAATTAATGCATTTTTGGCTAAGTTAAATTTTATATATAATTACATTTTTCACTTTTATATTTAGTTTTAAGCTGAAAAAGCTCAAAATATATGTATGTAGAAGCAACTGAAGCTTGTACACTTTATAATTATTTATTTCAATTTCAATGAAAAGCATTTTCATTTGAAATGAAATAAAATTATTTGTAAGCATATTGAAAATGCATTCTTAGCCTTATTTATAATTAAAATATATAAATAACGCTTGGAATTTATTTATTTTTTACTTTCTCTTTTCTCCAGCTTATTATTTTTCAAGAGTTCCCCAGGAATTTACCTTCTTGGAATTCAGATTTCTCAGTGAGAAAACTCACACATGCGAGGCGTGCAAAATCCATTCGAAATCAGTCAACGCGCCAAGGCTTTCATTCAGTTAGAAAGCAGACAGCAGACAAACAAAAGCAGGAAGAGGAGAGAGCTATATCTCTCTCTCCCTCTCTATATCCCTTTTTGCAAAAAAGGAGGGGGCAACAAGGACTCTTTTCAGGGGCGCTGGTTGCCAGGAAAAGGGTTGTGCTTCCTAGTAGTAGTTGTAGCTTTTGGTTTGGAAACCCAAACCCAAACCCAAACCCAAGCCAAGCGAGAAGCGAAGCTTGGAGCGGAAGTGCGGCTTGATTTACTCAACTCGTTTGCTCGCTCGTTTGTTTCCAACTGCTGCAAACATATTTTTCTGCACCGCCACCCCACACACAACACACACTCAAATACACACACTGAAAAGGCCGCTAAAATATTTATTAGCCCTTAAACAAACGGAATAGATGTGCGGCCAGAAAACTATAAAATACTACAAGCACACACAGAGAGAGTCACACACCCGCACCTTAAAGACTTTTGCCAGTGAAATGGCCCAGAAAAGGGGGGCTCGGAAAATGGGAAATGAAAAACTACCACCATTGAGAGTGAGGGGAAAAACTGTTGCCGAATTTATTAAAGCATTTCTTACGCATCATTTGTTGCTCTACCAAATTGCTGGAAAGCGGAAAAGGGGGCAAGCACACACACACACACAAAACAAAAGGAAAATGGTAAAGAAAAGCTGAAAGCCAGTGAAGAATGCAAATGAAATGGCCCAAAGGCAAGAGGGATTGGATAAACAAGCAGCAACTAGGTCCGGAAAAATGCTGATGTGTTTCGACTTAATGAAAACGCAACTTGAAGTTTGATAAAGTGAAATCTTGGCCACGGGGCGTATGAGTAATGCGAAAAATCGAATCGAATGGGCAAAATGGATGGAAAACCACTCGTATCGTATATGGGAATGCATCAATCAAAAAAAAAAATTTTGAACAGGACCATAGTTCGTGTTCGAAATACAGGAAAAGAAATTAAGTAAATCACTAAATTAATTGCCGAAAGGAAACAACTGAGA